TTCTGTGCTATTTTATGCCGGAATTAATTATTTCCCATAAACGACCCTAATTGCACGTAAAATAAACAGTGGTTGGTCACTTATGAGTTTATCAAACTATCTCTTCATATCTAATGGTGCATTCAAGTGCATTCCCTCCTTGGGAAGTCGTAATTTCAACCTCGGGAGCGTTCAGATCACTTTTTGACATGAAATTCAACAAGATTTTTCCACTTTACATCTACAAAATGATGAAGCATTTGAGTTTTTTTGTTTTTTTTTTTCATTTTATTACTGCTCTAAATTGAATCGTTATATTTTCTGTTGTAATTGTGCAGTACTATGGTAATTTGTACATGCAATTTAAACAGTTTCATTGTAAAAAAAAAATAAATAAATAATAATAATTTTATTAATTTTACCATTTATACAGATGCTTTATCCATTGCTTTCACCATGTTTTCTCACTGACACACCCCCAACTCGTAAAGTTGGGTAATTTACGATAAATTTACCACTTTTAATTAAACTTTGTGGTGACGTACATTTAACTCTTAAATACGATCTTGACTTGAACGCACCATAAGAAGACAATTCTTGGCCAGAATATACTGAAAAATGGAGTAGACTATGCCAAAAGTCAAAGGTTTTTATGAATTTTTTGTAACATCATTTTGTTCTTTCCAGTCTTTGAGTAAACTTGAGTGAAATCCAATCTGTTTTTAATGAAAAAAATAAACTTTCAGCCTTCAGTAAGTGATTTTTCTCTGTGTTTTTCTGCAGATGGTAAATGGTGGATTCTGGACAACGGTGTCCTCAACATCACCAGCATCACGTTCGCAGACCGCGGCAAATACACGTGCATGGCCTACAATGCGCACGGCAAGGCCAACTGCACGGTGACGCTGCGCGTGGTCTTCACCAACGGAGATATGGGTGTGTACTACATGGTGGTGTGTCTGGTGACGTTTACCATCATCATGATTCTGAACATCACTCGCCTTTGCATGATGAGCAGCCATCTGAAGAAAACCGAGAAGGCCATCAACGACTTCTTCCGCACGGAAGGCGCGGAAAAGCTCCAAAAGGCCTTTGAGATCGCGAAGCGTATTCCTATCATTACCTCGGCAAAAACGCTGGAGCTGGCGAAGGTCACACAGTTCAAGACCATGGAGTTTGCGCGCTACATCGAGGAGCTAGCGCGTAGCATACCGCTCCCACCGCTGATCATGAACTGCCGCACCTTCATGGAGGAGATCCTCGAGGTCGTCGGCGTAGAGGAAATGAGACACACTTTTGTCCGACAAGCACCTGAGAATCACGGTGGGGCGGCTGCTGGCACTTCCGATGATGTTTTCACTATCTTGCGCGAAAGAGAGCGGGCGAGGGAGAGAGAGAGGGAGCGCAGCGATTCTCCCGCCCTGGACTCGGACGACGCGTCGCTTCACGAGCAGCCTCAGCACATGGCCATTCAGGTTTCGATTCATCCGCCGTTAGCTGCAGCAGGATGCTGTAACGAGGAAGCTCCGCCTCTTTCCAAAATAGTCTCCTCTCCATCCCCATTGGCTCAGCTGCCTCTGGAGGCGGAGTCTGAGGAGAAGGAAAACAAGGAGGAGTCTGTACAAGTAGGTGGTGCTGCACAGAAAACCCAAGTCATTTATGAAAGCCATGTGTAATATCCTCAACGAAGATTAATGACCTCGCTATGCATTTTCTTGGGGAACGAAAAGGTCAAGATTTGTGTTTCTTCTCAGAAGTTGCTTTCTATTAGTCATCTTAGGAAAGATGAAGAATAGATGCATTTGTGTTTGGGTGAATCTCGCAAAACTCATATTTCTGGGTCATATTTTACCTTGGGGAGAACAAAAGAGGAATTGTATTTTGCCTAAAGAAAATAAAGCCCATTTTCCATAGTTTCTGCAATGCGTTGTGATATTTTAATGAAGTTAACCCTCCATCTTTAGAAGCTATTGTAATTCATAAAATGTTCTCATTACAGTAAAATTTCAAAAATATATATTTTTTTAATTTTAAATGCTCCATATTCATTCAGTTATACATCTTGGGTTGTATTTGTGACGGCGGAATTGAATTTAGGTTGATATCAATTAAAACTGAACAGAATAATTGTTAGTACTTTTGCAATTATATATAAAAAAAAAAAAAGTACAAATTCGCATTACTGTGTATTTACATTAATTTTTTTATTTTATTATTATTTTGCATGACAGTAATGTGATTTTAAAGGCTAAATTTGCCTAAAATGATAATATCACAATCCCCAAAAATTATTAATAGTCTTAAAATGGTTCATTTTATTTATGCAATTTTTTCTTTTTTGAATTTTGGGGTAAAATATAGCCTTTGTCATTTCTTTGTGAGATTGACCTGTGTAAGTTATATTTCTCATGACAATGTATACTCACGCTGAATGTATTTTGGGCGAAGTTCTCTATTTATTTATTTATTTAGAAAATCCAGGTTTGCCCATGATTTATTTTTTTTCATAGTTTCCATAAACTAGGGCTCTTGAGGGATACAAAGCTCACATCTCACGTCTTAATCATCAGACATATAGTTAGGTTGGATTTAGTTACGGATTATCCATTTCACGAATGAAAGCGAACGTACGACTGATTAATACATTTGGCTGAAATTACACCGTTTTGAGGCTGAAGTGCGTTTTTCATTCCATAGAAATCCCACATCTTTGAAAATATTTCAGAAGTGATGTGCAGAGTAATTTCTAAGATCTCGCTCCCTCTTATAATGCATGAAGAATGCATGTGGATCTGTCTTCAATGCTGGACTCGGCGAGACTAAACGTTTGTTTGTGTGATCCTGTCTGCTATGTGTTATTTATCATCCGAGTCAGGTAAACACGGCATCAACACTTTGAATAGCATTGTAGAAATTTCAGTTTGAGATTACGAGGCATTTTATTCCGTCGAGTTTCCACTGGAGTCTTCATACTGTTACTGTAATTAATGATAGTATTATTACTTTACTAGTAAATATTACTTTTGATTTCAGACGCACAGCTAGGTTTCTTTCTTTCGAGTGTTTTTGTTTAATTTGAACTTGTCTTTTTGAGGATCCAACAGAGAGTTCTTTATAACGGAGCCACGGTAATAATGTTTAAAGGGGTCATATGATGCGATTTCATTTTTTCCTTTCTCTTTAGAGTGTTACAAGCCCTTTTATTTATTTATATATATATATATATATATATATGGTAACACTTTACAATAAGGTTCCATTAGTTAATGTTCGTTCATGTGTTAACTAACATTTAAAAAACAATGAACAATACATTTATTACAGTATTTATTAATCTTTGTTAATGTTAATACAGTTGTTCTCTGTTAGTTCATGTTCATTCACAGCGCATTAACTAATGTTAACAAGCACAACTTTTGATTTTAATAATGCATTAGTAAATGTTGAAATGAACATGAACTAAGATTAATAAATGCTGTAGAAGTGTTGTTCATTCTTCGTTCATGTTAACTAAAGTAGTTAACTAATGTTAACTAATGAACCTTATTGTAAAGTGTAACTATATATATATATAAAATGGAACAATGTGTTATTTGAACAAGTACACCACCTTGAGCCATCGATGTGGTAATGTTTTTAATGAATTATAACGAATTCCACAAAACTGCTCGTCCCCACAGCCATGTACAGAGGCAAAGTGCTTTATTTTGAGGTCCAAAACAGGATTTTCTACCATTTAAAATACAATAATGTATTCATAACTATCAAACATATGACGTAAATGACATTAAAAAAACAAAAATCATTTATTTTGAAATAAAAATCTCACTGATGACATCATTTGACTTCCTTCCTCCTATTTCCTGAAGATCTATGAAAAAAGGGCCCATGCTAATGCTGCGTTCAAGTCCTCCTGGGACGTTCCTACTTACGAGTTGACAAATCGTCAAGTCAGTTTAGTCGGCACAAGATGGCGGTGTACCTTCTTTTAATAAATTACAAGAAAATACAACAGGGTCTGTTGACTCCGCTTATAGAAAATGAAGAGCAAAGAATTCGCAGCAGGTGTGTTTTGCGTTTTTAATATTTTGAAAAAGTAATTTATGAAGCCACTTTAATCTGCATCGCATAAAAACGTAAAACTATCAATTTAAACACAAATTTACGGTCAACTACAGACGTTGCATCCATCGATTCCGCCATGTTTCTCATTGACACACCCCCAACTCGGAAACTCGGGGCTTAAAGAAATCTTCGAGTTTCCCACTCGTAATAACGACTTTGTGGTGGCGTTCATGTGCGTTCAACTCGTAAATACGATCTATCCGACATGACTTGAACGCACCATCAGTCCACTGTCTCTTTTCAGTTATCAGAAATTTTCTCATTTATTTCATGATTTCATATGAAGCTTTGAGTTGAAGTCACTGGTATGACCTACTTTATTGTTAGGGAATTGTAAAAAAAAAAAAAAACTAGAATACAAATGGATTAAACTACTTAATTTAGTGAGTATACCATGATTGACAACATGTGGTTTGATACCTTGCAGCAGACATTGTGTAAAATGCATTTTTCATTATAATGCTCACTGGTGTCACCTTCCTAACACCAGTGAAGATCAGTTTATGTTTTTTTTACTAACTGCTTTCACTAAATGCCAAATGTAACAATTTAGTCTCATCTAATAACTATAGTTGAAGAATAAGGATCTTTGGTATGATCTTATGTCACTGGTGTTACCGTGTTTTTTTCTGTCACATTAAATTAAATGTGTCACATGTGGCATGATAATTTTACATCCATTGAATTCTCAAGAGTTAAGATTTAAAGGATTGCATCATTACTTGTTTATAACAGGTTTTGTTTCTCAAATATTTTCATTGTTATAACAAATACATGGTTGCGCAAATTAACTAACATCATTCAATCACACTTTTAACAAACCTGATTAAAATAAATAAAACATAATCTCCTTATTTGTTGCATTATTATTATTATTCTGTAACTCTGACTACATGTGCTGAAAAAAAACGAGAAATTGGCAAAGAAGGTAACACCAGTGACAAAAAAATGGTACATGTGTGGTCTTTAAGTAAATGCACAAAAAAGATTTTTAAGAAATCATTAAGCTGTCATTTATATGTATTCATAAAGTCAAAAGGTAATCTAATAATGTGGTCTAAGTTTAAATGTTAAAAAAAGAAATACATTAAGACATCTTGCCATACCAAAAGTGGAGGTTTCTGTAGAATGACCTGTAAATATCAACCTTACGTTAACCTTACGTAAAAATGCCGTTAACGTTGGCCCCAGCAGCGCGTGCGCATAAACTGACGGATGGCGCGCATTTCTGAGGCGACGCAGTTCTATCAGATTATATTTATGATTTTTATTAAAATAATACGAGTAATACCATTATATTGTTTCAATCGTTAGAACGAACGGAGAGCTGCGTTCCAGTTTTACTTGAGTCGGCAAAGTACTGACTCAGGCTAATTGCGAAATCGTAGAAAACTGTGTAAGTGACATATTTTGGATTCACAACAGCTAATTACGGTCTCAGGATAATTACGAAATGTAGAAAATCAATGAAAAAAAAAAATGTAGGGCAGAAGTTGATCTTATATTGCTATATCTTGTTAGTTTTGTTTTGTTAGTCGCTCATCGAGCAGATCAGTGGTTAGAGGTAAGTGGTTATTTTTCCTATTCAAGTCTTCATGATAAAGCCTCAGGAGCCATAAACGTCTACAGGAGAGATATACTCATACTTTCAGTAAGGTAGGAGTTTTGATGTGACTCATGAGAAAAAAAACTGTAGACGTTTTAAAGGAGATTTTAAAAGAACCTTTTAGATTGAAAATTGAGGAAAGGAATTAACACTTTACACTTAAAACCACACACTTGCCTGTAGTATGGGAGCAGTGTCTATGTGCAACCAAATCAAACATTGACGTCACGTTACCAAACCTCTTTTACAAGAAATGACCAAAACAAACAAACAAAGGAGACAGACTGTGGCTGTCTATGAGCAAATGCTAACACATGCTTTCTCCAGATATTACAGACCTTATCTGAATGTGGTAAAGACTTAAAGAGGTCATATGATGCGATTTAAATTTTTCCTTTCTCTTTGGAGTGTTACAAGCTCTTGGTGCATAAAGAAGATCTGTAAAGTTGCAAAGACTAAAGTCTCAAATCCAAAGAGATATTCTTTATAAAAGTTAAGAGTCAACCACGCCTACCTAAAACGGCTCGTTCTAACATGCCCCACATACCTATGTCACGATGTGGGAAGATTTGCATAACGTCACCCAAATGTTCACGCAAAGAAAGAAGGCGTAACTTTTATTCTCGCTGTAGTATTGTTGTTGCCGCAGCCGTCGTGGAGACACTGTGTGCTTTGTTGTGAAAGCTAAACTACTTTGTTTGGCCTTCCAAAAGAGGACGATATCCGCTTCGTCATACCTGGAGCTGATCCGTGCTGGTCGCTGAGGAAATACATCAACTTACTGTTCTTTTTAGCAGCATCATATGACCCCTTTAAATAACCATTTGCTGTAAAAAAATAAATAAAAAAAAGGGCCACCTTAAAACACATTCTGATGTTTATGGACTATAAAAAAACAGAGCTTGCACAGTACCCCCATCCAGAGCATCTGCAGCTCCACCTGCACGAACACTGCGATGATCCATTTACATGTTCAGAGAGCAAAACATTTGCAGATGAAGAGGCTGAAAGCTCTTCTGAAAACCCATGTAAATGAGAGGCCTTTAAATGTGAGGTTTCCTCTGGGAACAGCCACAAATCCACACTGGAAAAGTCCCTTTGGGCTGCCAGACGGTGACAAAATGATACTCACGTACCGCTTGAAACTTCACATCCAAACAGAAAAAAGTTGATTACTACAGATACATTTAAAATGAATACTGGGAAGTTGTATTGTTTTGTAAAATACATGTGTAACAATTCAAATCTCTGTATACTGTAAAGCATCTTTCAAATTATTTATGAATTACATTATAGCTTACAAATAAATATGAATATGCTTTAATAGCTTTCACTTAACAGTGGTGGCTTTTGGCTTATGAAAATGAGCAGTTTGCATTTCCTAGAAAACAGACACCAAATGTAAGTAAAGACGCATAAACCATTTAATGCTTACAATTTAATCCATTAAAAGGCTAAAAAAGGTGAACATTTACCATTCAATTTGACATCAAGTAGTTAAAGGGGTCATATGATGTTGCTAAAAAGAACATTATTTTGTGTATTTGGTGTAATGAAATGTGTTTATGCGGTTTAAGGTTAAAAAAAACCTTTAGTCTTTGCAACTTTACAGATCTTCTTTATGCACCAAGAGCTTGTAGCACTCCAAAGAGAAAGGAAAACTTGAAATCGCATCATATGACCCCTTTAAAGTCATAAAATTAGTCTCAAGACAAGAATCAGAGATCCATATTAATTTGATTTAGAACTAAAAACTAAAATTACACAGCAATCAAGCAGAAGAGAAATCAGTTTTAAATTGATTTTCTTCATCTCTCTTCATACAAGGCTTCCCCCCTTCTGAGCCTTTGGGCAGCTCGTCTCACAGTATACAAATATTGATGTGTGTGTGTGTGAATCTAGACAGTCTGTCCTCAGGCAGGAAAGTCTGACGCTGACGCCAATGACCTGTGCAACCACACTGAGAAACCATACGCTTGCTCCCAGTGTAGTACAACCTCTCACTGCTGCACAAATTCATAAATCACACATTTAGAGAAGATTGTGGGAATCTGGCTTTCAGCTCACATTACACCGTGTGAAATTAGCTGTCATTGAAGTATTGTCTTTAATACTTTTTTATTTCCAATCAGAAAACCTATACAGTTTAGAGACCATATAGTTGCCCCAAACAAGGAAATGAAGTAGTGTAGTATTTTTTTTTAAACCAGGTCTACTAGTAATGTTTATCTATCGCTATAACATAGGCATGTTTATGCTTTTTATTTCAAGACACTACAGGCGAAAACAGTCTTTTCATGCTATTTGGCTGCTTATAACAGTTTGCTCAATTTTTAAGCACTTTATCAGTCTAGATTTCAATTATAATAATTTCTCCACCTCAGCAGAACTTACAGACTTATCAGTTTTATTCATATCTATATTCGGAAGGTTTTTACAGAGGGGTTTGTTTATTTATCATTTGCCTGATTTCATACACATTTTAATTTCTTAAAAAAAAAAAAAAAAAAATGCTGCAAATATTTTCTAACAGTTCTTTCTGATTTATGAAGTGACAAAAATAAAATATCTAAAATCCCCTCTGCAAAGACTTTTAACTCTAAATACGTTACAAAAAAAAGAGGATTTGTTCAGTGTTCGGCTTTCTTTTCTGGAAATGTATTGCAAATTTAATAGCATTTCAGAAAACTTGCAATACAATATTTATTAATCTTATTTTTTTTCCTAAACTATTTTTAATGTTATCACTCAACTGGGGAAATATGGTGATATCTATAATTTTTTATTTTTACCATAGTCACCTGTGGTGTCTTGCCTTAATATACTGCTAGTATGTTTACTACTAATAACAGCTGTAAAAATACTAGTTTTTTTTTTCTCCTCCAAAAACACTTGAGTGCACACATTCGTCCAGAAAGCAGAACAAGAACAACTTTTAAACATTACCTTTTAAGCAGTGGTGGGCCGTCAGGGCCAGCAAAGCCTTCTCTGCTGGTGAAGTAATTTCTTCGCCACTGTCGTCACCAAACTGACCCTTTCGAACAGGTTTCCGAAACTCTCCCTGTCTGCATCCGGACAAACTCTTCACTCATGTAAAAACATTACAGCAGCAAATTGAACTTCCTGTGACATGTCATTTAATGAACATTGAAGCTGTTGATTTACGGTCATCACGGTTCACAGTCTGAGAGAGCAAGACAGTGCAAACACAGGATCTACACTTCATTTAAAACAATTTAATCTTTACATATTTGTGTTTTTTTTAATGTACAATCAAATCAATCATACATAAAATTCTCCATATTGTACAACTCTAGCACTAGTATAACAAAAAAAAAATGGGGGTGGTAATCACCATGGAAACAAAGGAAAAGGACAGAATTTCACCAATCAGTTAAAAGACAACACCTCGGCCTTCTTTTGGAAAAGAAATGACCATGCGAATATGTAATTCAAAATTAAATTTAAGAAAAAACAGATGGTAGTGCAACTGGTAGGTTAGTATATGCAGTTTAACATACAGCAATGGTTACCACAAGTGTCAAATTTACACAAAACTGTGCCATGTATTTCTCAGGGGGAAAAAAAATGAAGGGGCAACAGGAGCAAGCACAAATGAACTAGAGTTTCCATTCTAACGATCTCTAACAGTCATATTTCATCATCGCTTTTTCAGTGCCAATACGAAACGGTGCAGTCGTGCCTGAATCTGAATCATCTGGCATCTCCAAAAACAGTTTAGTTGTTAGCCTGTATTTACATGTAGTTGTTTAGTGTCATAAAAAATGTCTGGGTCATATTTCAGCCTTGTATTAAAAGGAAATAATATTTAGCATAATGAAGCTTGGTTTTAGGACCAAGATTTTTACATGCATTTTGACATGGTTTTCATGACAATTTGGCTTGATGGTTCAGTACTGGGAACAATATTTTTTCACATAAAATTTCTCAAAATAACTATTCGGGGGTAAAATATGCATCATTTGAAATTTAAAATGGGTTAGGGTTCAAAATGGGCTTCATTTTCATTACACAAAATACATATTTTATTTTGGGATGAAATATGACCTGGGCATTTCTTCGTGGGATTTATCATTTAGAGCCTGTTCTTAGATAGCCGTCAGATGCGGATAAACAATTTGAGATGTTTAATGTAAGATTTCAGGGCAATCAAACATTTGATTAATCAGACGAGGATGAACAGCAGTAGACACGGTTAAATCACGTGAGATGAAATGTGAGCATACAAGAGAATGGGAAATTTAAACTGCACTGGAGCCAACATTCACCAGTTTGAACATTAATGCTTGTTTGCAAAGTTAAAAAAAGTTGGTCAAGTCACATTTTTTGATTTTCAAACTATTAGGAGTTGCTTAGTACATTTAAATATAATAGCCAAGATAGCAGCTGTAAAAGAAAAGCGTCTTGGTTTTTCATCCCCAGTAACGAAAAGCACAAAACTTCATAAAGTGTGGGCACTCAGAGACCTGCCAGACAGACTCGTTTGGCTCGTTACCCACAATCCCACTGCGGTTTAGACTGGCCGTCGTAGTGTTGAGATTAAAGATGATTAATTAAGACGATGTACACCCTGTTCTCCTCCCAACATCCTTTCGCTAGGTATCACAAAACCCACGCTTGTATGCTTGATCTTTTCGCAATGCTGAATACTTGATCTTCACGGATCGCTCGCAAAAATCACTTGCATGGGCAACGTATCCATTACGTACGGGACACTTTTCGACGTTTCTTCGGCTTCACTGCATCAGATCCCAACTGGAATGTTGGGGCGCGTTCAAACACGATCTCGTTCACCGTCTTTCTTGTATCTCTCACACACACTACAAGTAAACAAAGCTAAAGAGTCCATTTCGGGAGGGGCAGTGAGGGTCATGGCGGTCTGCGGCGAAAGGTCCCTCCTCGCCTTGTTTCCAGCGGTTCATCTTGACCTTTCACCTCTTTAGGACGCATTTTCTCAGGCAGGAGGCTAAGAGGTCAATCAAGCAGGTCCCGTGAGGTGTCGTGGGTGTTTTTGCATGCGCGTGTGAGAGTTAGTTTAGCGTGTTAGCGTTTGGAGAAAGTTCCTCCACTTGGGGCGTCCAAGACTCGAGCTTCTCCCAAAAGTTTTTCAAGCAGCCAGGCTCTGCCTCGAAAGACTCGTTTTGGAGTCTTGTGCAAGTATCCAGAGGACGGGGTCCCGTCTGGCGTAGTGTTTTTTATATACTTGGGCGGTTCAGGGTACCGTAGGGGCGTGTGGTCAGAGGGATGAGTTGTCCAGTAAACGGACCTCCTCTTCACTCTCATCTTCCTCGTAGCGGGAAGAGGGGGATGCTAGTTGAACATTATGGACTCGGGGTCTTGGTTTGCCATCTGGGCCATATGACGGAGGATATCTTTTTTTGTAATAATACCAAGGAGGCGCCTATAAAAAGAGAGACAGAAAGAGGTAGAGAAATTTACTAGTGCATTTTTGACATGTTTGCAGAGCACTGACATCTTCTGTTGCCAAGTTTTGCAAGGAAGTCCCAACGAAATGCATTTTGTATAACTCTATTCTAGACTTGTGCCGGTATTCGGTAATGCGATATATCACGGTAATGAATATGCACAATATTGTTATCGTGGGCACTTCTAAATACCGTGAATAATTATATATTACAAATTATTCCGAATTTTGAATGCATTTTAAGAATACTTTTCCCATCAACTGGTCAAAATGCACAACACCGCCGTATGCTGCGTGATAGACGCATGCGCACTCTGATGTAAACAAGCGCAGACGTGAAGCACATGGCGGAACATGCGAGAGACGCTCTGGATGAAAGCGCACTTTCACTCTCTGACAGCAGATGGCGCTAAACTGCAGAAATAATAATAATAATAATAATAATAAT